CGATCCAAGCCTTTCTCTTCTTGCCTTTCGAGCCCCTCTCCTTTTTCCAAGCGTCTGGCAAATAATGCTTCTCCCAAGCATTTCCTCCCCAATACTCTTGGGCCTCGGCATCTTCTGGATCTTCCTGCGGCCAGTCCTTCTTCCAGCCCTCCTTCTTCCAGCCCTCCTTCTTCCAGACCTGTTTCCAGCTCTCCTTAGGCCAGTCCTCCTTCTTCCAGTCCTTCTTCCAATCCTGCTTTGCGTCCTGCTCCTTTTTCCAAGTCTTCCAGTATGATTCCTTCTTCCAAACAGCAAGTGGGCCCTCAACACCAGCATCTGGATGGCTGAGAGCTTCTGGATGGCTGGGAGCAGCTTCTGGATGGCTGGGAGCAGCTTCTGGCTGGCTGGGACCAGCTTCTGGATGGCTGGGACCAGCTTCTGGATGACCAGCTGCAACCTCCAAAGGTTAGAGATAGGGAAGGGAAGATGATTAACTCCTGGTCCATTCATTCCCTTAATTACAAGACCAGGAGGTGTGATAGGATAATGATAGAGAGATAGTGAATTGGTGGACAACCTGAGTCTTCTTATCTCTAAGTCACGTTATTTCCTTACTATTTCCCAATCAACATGAAAAGAATAGCAATAAAAGCTAGAAATGGAAAGGAGATTCCTCACCTCATCAAATAATCATAAAAAATATAATAAAATAAGATGAAGATAATGATAAAGAACGAAAAAAAAGGAAACGAAAGTAATAAAAGAATATGAAAATGTGCTATTCATCTGATGAAGCCACTTCTGTGATAACAGCAGTGCCCTCATACACAGGGCCGGATTCATCTTCTTCTTCTTCAATCTCGTCCAGCTCTGCTTGCAAATGGGCTTGGTATACCCCGTCAGCATACCCAGCCTTTTTCCAGCTCTGCCAATCCCAGTGCTTGGGGCTCGAGACTGCATTGATCGGGCCTCTGACCCACAGATTGGTGTTCGGGGCCTGCCTCATGAAGTAGCTTTTGCAAAACATATTGATGCAAATCTTCTTCCTGATGTAGGATTTTGTTCCACATTGGGGACAGATCCTCAGATCTTGCAGGGCCTCGCCGGCCATGGGCTTGGCAAGTGCCATGGCGCCGAATTGCTGCTGCCACTCAAAATGGTATTTTCAATTGTTTGCCTAATCCTTTGCTTTCTGTCTAGCTTCCTGCCCGGGAGCTGCGGGACTTGCAACGTTTGCTGCTTGCATCCAAGACCTCTTGAAAGATGATCAGCAACATGCAGCACGCTGCTTCAATGCCAAGTGCTTTCAAGACAAATTCCTTCCATGCAGAATGTGCGCCCACGCAGCCTCAAACACGATAGGCAACAGTGCATGCAGCCGCCCGCTGCCCAAACCTCAGGATCAACACATCAGAGTCCTGTGAAGACATGGGATCTCCCACAACTGCGACAAGCATGACTCTGGCATGAACAGCAACGCATCCTACCAAGGAGCATCAACTGCATCCTACCAAGGAGCAAATTATACACCGCTGCACTCACCAACTGCATCCTACCAAGGAGCAAATTATACACCACTGCATGTGCACAGGTGAGCCATCTGTCTCATATCAGTCACTCTGGAGTATCTGAGGCCCTGGCAACACGAAAGCTAGCTCCACACTCTCACTTCTGAGGCCCTGGCAAAACAAGCAAACCGGCACAAATGGCCAAAATTGCTGCAGCAACTCACGCTTCAAAAATCCAAGAAAACCTTGCATGCAACCAAAATCAAGCAAATGGACTGAACAATTGCATACATGCATAGCAAGAAAACCTTTTCTGCCCACAAAGCGACAAAGGCCTCTCAGTTCAAAGTCTTTGCTGCCTTCGGCTTCTGCTTCGCCAAATGATCTCTGCATGCTCCAACGCAAGCATACCAAGCATCTGCCGGCTTGTCATAGAGACTCCAAGAAAACTGAACTCTGCATTTTTCAGGCTTCTTCACGAAAAAGCCCTTGCTTCTACACAGGACGTCGATGGAAATAGCTCCATCATCAAGCTTCACTGTGTACGAATGCTGCCCCTTGCAGCCCTCTGGAGGCTGTGCTTCCACAGGCAAACCAGTGATGTCATGCACTCCAAACAAAATCTTCTTGGAAGCTGAGGAAGTCTCAGCAGGAATAGGCTCTGCTGCAAGGCTCTCCACAGGGCCAGCTTCCTGCCCGGGATTGCCTTCAAAATCTGCTGCAGCTTTTTCAGGAGCTGATGCAGCAACAGAGCCCTTGGTCGACTTGCCCTTGCCTTTGCCCTTGCCCTTGCCAGTGGCTCGAACCCTCTTGAGCTTGGGCCCTGACTCTGCAGCCTGCGGAGCAAGCCACAAGTTGGGCACTTCAGATGGAAAGGGCTCCTCATCTTCGAATCTAACCAAGCAAAAACCGGCAGGCCCCTTTTCCAACACTCCCCTCGAAACCTTGCCCTCTTCAGCCAACCGGATGTAGCACCCTTCTGCTGGGTCAAAATAAGGCTTCGCTGTGCCCGGCTTTTTCTGGAAAGCTTCTGTTTCTGAAGATGACTCCACTGCGCTTGGCGACTCAGATATGGAAATAGCATCTCGAGAGGATCCTGTCATGGCAACATTGGCATCCATGCTCTTTGCATTGGCGCTGCCCGCTGCATATATAGCAAGGATTTCATCTTCGGTCTTGGATGGTGCGCCGAACTCAAGCTTTCTCTTAAGAGCCACCTCCTCCTCAACAGAAGGTCGACTACCTTCGAGATCAAGAGATCTGCGAGAGCTGGGGCTAGAGCTGCTGGCAGAAAGAGTCTTCAGCCTCTGCACAAACTTCCACACTGCAGGCTCCAATTTCTTTCCACTGGAACAGCTTTGGATTTTGCTTCGAGCAAACTTGAACGCATTGCAGATACTTTTGGAAATAGCCTTGGCTTCGTCCACACCAATCTGATAGGCCATACTCAGACCCTGCTGCACTTCCTTCTGTCCTGGCCTGACCGTCTTCTCAAGGAGTTCAGAGAAAAGCCTTTCATTTTGGACTATGACCTGCTGCTCTGACAATCTGAAGCTCTCCACATCAATCTCTCGACTCCACAGGACAAAGCAACCCATCATGTCTTTGGCAGTGGCAGTGTTCTTAGCACGAACTTTGGCCATGGCTAAATTGATCTTGGTCTCTCAAAACAGCTGCAATTTCGCACGCATGTATACGCCCAGGCGTCATGAAGCACAGGCATGGTGCGCATGAATTCCTGCGCGTGATTCCACGCAGCTGCATGTTACACCACAAAAAAATCGACAAGAACACAGCTCACAACTCATTATTCTTGCATGCCTGCTGTAACATTGAAATTAAAAAATATGATCGATCGATATACATGCGTGCACGTGATCATGCTGAAAACATTGCTTAAAAAACATTGCTTATTTAAGCATTTTGACATTTTTATATATCAACACGATTTAAGCAATGATTGCTTATTTAAGCGGCACAATGCTTAATTAAGACCGCAAAAGTCCTTAATTAAGCAATGTTACCATGAAACAATGCTTATTTAAGCGAAAAGTGTTTAAATAAACAATGTTTTCCAACGAACATCGATGATTTAAGCATGGTTCTGTTAAATAAACACTTTTGGAAGATTTGGGGTGTGTGCATGTGCGTGTGCATGTGTGTGTGTGTGTGTGTGCGTGCGCGCGTGCGTGCGTGCGTGCGTGCGTGCGTGCGTGCGTGCGGTGTGTGTGTGTGTGTGTGTGGGTGCGTACATGCGTGCGTGCGTGCGTGCGTGCGTGCGTGCGTGCGTGTGCGCGTGCGCGTGCATGTGCATGTGCATGTGCATGTGCATGTGCATATGCATGTGCATGTGCATGTGCATGTGCATGTGTGTGTGTGTGTGTGCGTGTGCTGCCTGTGTATGTGTGGTTTGTCTGTGTACCTTACCTGCGCGTCTGCATGTCTACGTCTCTTTGTGTCTCGGTGTTTGTGTGCGCGTGCGCTTGTGCATGTGCACTTCCAAGTGTGTGTGTGTGATTGTGTGCGCGTGTGGTTTTGTGTGCCGTATGTGTGTGTGTGTGTGCTGCCTGTGTCCGTGTGTGTCTGAGTGTGTCTGCGTGTGCCTGTGTGTGTGTGCGCGCGTGTCTGTGTGTGCTTCTGCATGTGTCTGCGTGTTTCTCTGCGTGTTTCTGCGTGTTTCTCTGCGTGTGCGCGCGCGTGTGCGTGTGCGTGTGTGCGTGAGCGTGCGCGTGCGCGTGGGTGCGCGTGTGTGTGTGTGTGTGTGTGTGCGTGTACACAGCGTGTGCACAGCGTGTGCACGTGCGGGTGCGGGTGTGGGTGGGGGTGTGGTTGTGGGTGTGTGAGAGAGAGAGTGTGTGTGTGTCTGTGTGTGTGCGTGTGTGTGTGTGTGTGCGTGTGCGTGTGCGTGTGCGTGCGCGCGCGCGTGCGTGCGTGCGTGCGCGCGCGCGTGCGCGCGTGCGCGTGTGTGCGTGTGTGTGTGTGTGCGTGTGTGCGTGTGCGCGTGCGTGCGTGCGTGCGTGCGGTGCGTGCGTGCGTGCGTCTGAGTGTGTGTGTAGTGTGTGTTGTGTGTGTGTGTGTGTGTGTGTGTGTGTGTGTGTGTGTGTGTGTGTGTGTGTGTGTGTGTGTGTGTGTGTGTGTGTGTGTGTGTGTGTGTTTCTGTGTGTGTGTGTGTGTGTGTGTCTGCTTCTGCGTGTGTCTGTGTCTCTCTGTGTCTCTCTGTGTCTCTTCTTGTCTCTCTGTGTTTGTCTGTGTCTGTCTGTGCCTCTCTGTGTCTGTGTGTGTGTGTGCGCGAGTCTGTGCGTGTGCGCGCGTTGGTGTGCGGGCGTGCGGGCGTGCAAATACTTTTGTGGGTAATCACTCTTCTTGATGCCTGAAAGGGAAACCAAACAGACAAATTTGTGGGGTCCAAATTGGGCTCTCATTTCGAGAGCACCTTTGTGGGGTGGGCCTAAAGGGCAGCCAAAGGAAACCATCCTCGAAACTTCCGGGAAAAACGACGTGCAAACTGGTGTCCTCGGGCCGTAGATCAGCGCTGCCCACATGGCCACTGCCAGCAAAAGCAGCAACAGCAGCAGCAGGAGCGTTTGCTCGTGGTCATGCCTGCCGTTCGGCAACCCCTGCAGTTCAGCGAGCCGTCCGGCAGAAAGAGAGAACAGGCAGAGGTTGACAATTTCTAAGGAAGCTATCAGGCAAGGGAAGAAGAAGAATTGGTGCCACTGAACAACTGGGCCTGAAAGATTATGAAGATGTTTAAGCAGCCCTCTTTTGGTCCCCTAAGGGGAGGGACTGATTGGTACGTGCAAGCCGGGTTGCAGCCAGCTGCCCGTAGAGGAAACGCCTTGCTGAATGGATGCCCCCCTCAGCACGCGCATGGAGGCAATGCCGGCAATTCTTGGCATGTCTCGGCAGTTGCGGACGCAATTTGGAACCAAGGAAGTCGTGGTTCTCGCGAACCTTGCGTTCCGAGAACTTTTGCTGCGTCCTGTGTTTCCAGGCTGGGCGAACATTTTGCAGGCGAAGCCATGGCCGCCAGAGCTAGCTGCGAAGCTGAGGCTGAGACAAGTCAAAGCTAGGTGGGTGGTACTCCGAGCCTCGGCTCGAAAACGGCCGAAATCTGCGAGACCAAATTGGGATACAAAACTGCCCCAACCAATTCTCCGCCAATCACAGGGGGGCTAAAGACAGTGATGGAAATGATCACTTTGCAAGCACTTTCGGCCCAGTCAAGCATTCGAATTGGCCGCAAGTGTGCTTGCCTCTTGAATTTGTTTTGCCAGCCAGGGTGGTCCTCTTGTGTTGCCCCCCGCCCCCACAGGGGGGACCAGTTTGACATTGGAGCCCCCTTTTTTGCCAATCTGGTCCCGAAAAAAAGTTGCCCATTCACTGGTTCCAACTGCGATTCACTGCTTTCCCTTTCCGAGGCGCAGGTCACTTCAAGGACCTCGGCATCTGGACTTTGAAGCGCCAGGCTCAGTGCTTGCACGTGCTTCAGCCTGCGTCAGGGCCCTGACGCAAAACCCGGTGCCAACCTGTCGCATCAACTTGACATGTCGGGAAAAAGTGAGCTTTTCCGACTAAAAACAGCAGTATCAACAAAAACTATCTGCCGTACAACATGCCAAGGACAGTGAAGTAAAGGGCTCTACTTACAATTAGGAATAGAACCAAGAGAGCCTCTTGCTGCACTTGGCTCGGACTGTCGCAAAACGTCGCACACTTTCTCTTCGGGTTTCGATTGTCAGGTGAGGTGTTGCACCTCTGTTGAACAAAGGCTTGCATGAATCCAATGTAAAGGCCCCATAAACATCACGCCCCAGCTTTTGTGGAAAAGGGCGGCGGTACCCTATTCTGAGAACCAACAAGGTCCTCTCTTTTTTTGCGGGTACTTCCCCCTTTCCTGGTGGCTTCAAACAAAAACGAGGAAAACCCACCCACACTGAGCATACTCCCCCTTTTGGTGGTTTCCAAAAGGCAAACCCACCCACCTTTACCGCCAGGGACACCAGAAAACCGGCGGTCACTGCATGAATCCAACCGGCGGAACGTCACCTTCTCAGGTCCATGACCGCGGCGTTCTGCAGAGCTGCGGCCCAACTCTTCAGGAAGGCCGCCCTCTCCGCCCTCCTCGAGACTCGTTTTTTTTCGGGAAACGGAACCGACTTCAGGTTTTCTCTGTTTTCGGGGAAAGGCTTCGGCTTGCTCGTCTTTTCTTGGGGGGGTTTTCGGCCGCGAAACGGCCGGCTTCGGAATCTGTTTGTTTGGGGAAAGACTTCGGAGCTTCCTGAGCCAGAAAGGGTACAGTCACAATATGAACGCTTTCATTCTGGCTGCGCGCAGCTGATTCGTAAGTTGGAAACCGCTCACACGAATGGGGGGATTTGAGAGGGCTTAAAAATCTCTGTCATATAGGACCATGGGGCCAGGGATTTTTGCAGAGAATTGAGGCACGAGCCATGCGCCCAACCAAACAGGAAAATTTGCAAGGATCAGCCCGAACTCTTTCATGGGGGCTTGCAATGCGCGGGATACAGGGGACCCCCTGTTTTTGACTTACCCCCAGGCAAACAATGACCGTTCTACAAATTAAGGATATCCAAAAACTAGTTACAGCGGGGTCCTTTAAACAAGGGCACCTTTAAGGAGCCCAGTGTTCACTTGCATCCGGCCCAGCCACGAGGGCTCTGAAGTCGAGCAGAAATTCGCCCGCAGCTTGTTGAACACGCCCGGTTGGAGCGAGCCGACATCCACCTGCCAGGCCGCCGTTGAAACACCCTTCCCCTTGTTGAAGTGGAGCTGCCAGCCTTGACCGCCCCCCACACAGGCAACCGAAAGGCACCAAAAGCTCTTTGGGAGCCGGTACTTAAGACTCATAGGGATGGTGGACTACTGGACGGATTTTTTTGAATTGTAGACCATGAGAAGGGTTCCCGATAAAAGGAACCACGACTATGGCCGACAGAACCGGCTTTGACCTCCAGAAAAGTCCCACTTGTGAGACAACACAAGGTGTTCTCCTCTTGGCTGTTCTTTGAAAACGGCTCAAGTACCCTCAAAGAAGACGCGCCCACATGACCCAGTTGGAGTGGGTAACCCATGATTCCAGCCGGACCAATGCGGGCCCCCAAACATGGCAAGGGTCGCCGTTCAATTCCAGGCGCACCAAATGTCCCCAAGAGCAAAGGAAAAAAGGGCTCTAAGGGCTCCAAATCTCACTTTAGTCTTTGCGGAAGGTTGTCAATTTGTGGAAGTGTCGCTCTGATGTCTTGCAGCACCAGCTGTGCAAGCTGGCAGGTTTTCGTGGCCCTCCGACTGGCTTCCCCAGCCCCATGGCAAGCTCTGAAGTGGCTTGCAGCAGGCGCGCACGTAGCTAGCTCTGTGGCTGGCCTTTGCGGCCAGAAACAAGATCAAGGCCTGCTCAACCTGAGCTGCAGGGCGAAACTGGTCCCAAACAAATCGACATGTTTGGCTGCGCCTTTGTTTGAGGATAGCTCTCTTGGAATCTCTTGGAGCCCTTTGAAAGGAAAACCACAACGAGCCTACGCCACCAATTTGGGGTGGGGGGGTCCCCTATGTTCAGAATCGCTTTAGACAGCACGTGCAGCATGCGAACTCTTGCCCAGGCGCAACCTCTCCCAACAATCCCGACTCCATCACTTCCACGTCCTTCTCCTGCGCTCTCGAAGATTGATCCGTTTTGCGTCTAGACCACAAGGGCTGGTCGTGGCTCAACAGCTGGAACCCCAGGATTCAAATTGGAGGCATTCCTAAAAAATGTGGGGAACTCTGGTGATCTCTCGTTTTATCCGCCAAAGTTTGCATAAACCCGGGGCCGACATTTCGCAGCTCCTGCACATGCATGGCTTCTGCCAGGGATACTTGGAATGACACTTCCGGCGGCTTCTCCTCCTGGCATGGCTGATGCACAAGTTGCGAAGGGACATCCTGCATCTGCTTGTTTCCAATACGACAAGAACCCCGAGCCCTAGTAACACACGAGATGTGTCAATCATCTTGCCCGGCACGTGTCTCGCATACGGTAATTCAAAGGCTCCGCAACCCAGGGGTCGCAAGGACCACAATTTAGCTTGAAGGACCCTACCATCTGCACCGTCCCACAAAACCCTTGACGTCTGGGGCCTTGGCAAACCGTGGGGTCAAGTCAAATGAGGCACTAGATTGGGGAGCGTGTCTTCGGGAGCACCGTGACTCGACATGTCGACCCCAGGCCTTCATTTCCTTGTTGAGGCCCTGCACGGCCTGCGCATGGCTCGCGTGAAACCACCCCTCGCTGCTCGCCTGGCCGCGCTCGGCGATCGCTTCTTTTCGTCGCAGGCCGGGCCCGGATCACTTGAATTTCAGCGCTCACAAGAAGGACGAGGAAACACCTCCGCGACTGAAGCCTCGGCTGGGTTCGTAAAAAAAACCATGGCTTCCGTGCTGTGCAGCGAGAGCTTGGGACTCTCAAGTCATCTTCTGGCATGCTGCATTGCCTTTTTGCAACGTCAGACCCCCAAACCGCAAAACTACAACAACTACGGGCTCTTCCGCAGCACCTCCACATGATGCTGAGTGAAGCAACGTCCTGATAGCCCAGTCTGGGAGTTCTCCACCAGCTTGCTGAACTCATCAGAAGTCATGGGCTTTGTAACCACCAGGTCCTCGCGATTCGCATCAAAATCTACCCAGACTTGGATTTATTCCTAGGGGCTCGTCTTTCCCGGAAATTTTCATCCAAACTACCACCAATCTGAAGGGCCTTCCCCCCCCCCCCCCACCACCATGGCTCTCACCTAAGGGGCCCTCACCAAAGGGAGCCTTCTTAGGGGTTCTGGTTGAAGGGCTTTGAGAACTCAGAGCCAGGGCCGACAGCGGCCACTCAGCACCACCGCTCTTTTCCCACTCCCAGTGGAGAAGTGGAATTTCATCACCCACCCCAACCCCCACAATCCAACTTTTCCTACGCAAAATGACTGAACCCCGTCCTTCTCCGGGTCAAAGGCCTTGCGATTGGCTGCCAGTGACGCGCCCCCCTTGACAGCTTGCCTCTCCTCAGTGCTGGCCGGCCAGTCTTGTAGGTAATGGCTGCCCCTGCAAACTCTCTCTCTCTCTGTCTGTTTTGGTTAAAGGTACCCTTTTCAGGCCGGATTGAAAGGAAATCGAAACAACAACCATTTGGGGTCTCCTTTTGACCAGCGGCCGCCAGGTGGATGGGAAGTTACAAACAAAAGATTGAAATTCCTTGGCCAGCCCCTGATCACTGTCAGAGAGCCAACCAGCTCCCATCACAGTCAACGCACACACCGCTCGCCTCAACATCGCTGCAATGTCAAGCTGCCTGTTCCTTCTCAGACATGCCCCAGATTGCGCTCGTTCCAATCTGGCCAGGCGCTACACTCCCTCCGCCGCTCTGCGTCACTCTTGCGACCAAAGGCCCCCATTCAACATACCCTGCCAAAGACTGGCTTCGATTTGAAGTCACACAGTTACAAAATGCGTCTCACTCAATGCTCGCAGATTCCAACCCTTGACCCTAAAGCTTTTCTGGCCGGCGGGCAAATCAAAAAGCATCCGGCCACCATCCCGGCTGTAACAGATTTCAAGAGCACTAACAACTGTCTGTAAAATCAAACGCTGAAATCTTCAATCTACATTGTCAGGGCTCCCTATATTTCCCCTTAAAACATCACCCCCACCAAGGGACACTCACCTTTGGGCCCAAAAGGTGATGTTTGAAACCGCCCAAAAGGGAAATATAGGGGACCCCGTACATTGTGGCTTGGAATTGTTCAAGAAAAACACGCATCGAGGCTAGCGACAGCCCCAGCCTTCACCTTCCGGGCGCTGTCCTGCGCCTCTTTGGCATCTGAAAAGTTGCCCTCTTGCTGCTGAGACAGCAGAGAAGGCCCCCGTTGCTTGAAGGCCTTCTCAAAAGCCTCCTGCTCCTCCAAGATAATAGGGTGCCGTGCATACATTATATCTAATTAAAAAAGAAGAAACCATCCAACAAAAAAAGAACTGCTGCAACTCAAGATTACCCCCCCCCAAAAAAAAAAAACACATGTGATTACCAAATGAAGTGCCCAGTAGAACCCGCAAGGCTTTCTTTCTGGCAACCTGGGCCACTCACAGAGTCACATACACACATGAAACAAACTTGCACCCGTTGTATCTTGCAAGATCTTCGATATTCACTTGATTGGTTGGCTGGTTGGCTGTCTGGCTGGATGCATGGGGATGGTTGACTGAGCCAGTCACGCAGGTACTCGCGCAGGTAGGCGGCCCGCGCTCCTCTTTGCTGCGCTGCACTGCAAAGACGTCCGCCTTCCGCTTGCGGACCATGCCATTACCGTCCATGAAGAGGCCAGCCATGCCTCACAGCGGCATAACGACCACCCTCTGAGAGGGAGCGTTGACTCAAAAGAATCATATTCAAGAATGAGAAGCGAGCGGTTCCATGGAACATGTACCATCCGTCACTGGTGCCTTAGCTCAGTTCTTTCCTTTTTTGACGGGGGTCATGTCCAAGAGGTTGAGCAAACCCTGTGGAAGCCCCTCACTCTAGGCGAACCTTTGTCAGCGCAACTCGGACCCCCAAACCTCAGCTTCGACGCTCCGAGCCGCTGCCCGGCGCCATGGTCATCCATTCCTCCCTGTCCGTCTTGACAGGGTCCACGTACCTACATGGAATGAGACTGACAGCATACGGCAGATCTGCGCATCCGCGCAGAAACTCAAATTTGCTGACCTCCCATTCAGAAGCCTGCATATGTTTGCACACTCCAACGCCCGGATTGCCAAGAGCTGGACATCAAGAGGTGCCCTACAACAAACAATTAAGATAGAACCCAAAAAAGGGGTCCTATCTTAACGAGATTCCTCGAAATTTGATGTCAGTTGGCCTCCATTTGAGAGAAATAGACATATTTCCAGAGATAGATTCCCTGTGAAACCAAAGGAACATAATTATAACAAGTGATGAACATAATGATAATAACAATCATAATCATATCCATAATGGCAATAACAATAACAGTGGTAATAATAACAGCGGTAATGACAAAGACGTGTTCTTAAACAACTGATAACAATAAATAACACCAGTAACAAAAACAGTAATAATAACAGTAATAGTAAGAATAATAGTAATAACAATAAACATAAAAATAACACTATTAATAATGCTAGTAATAACAATAACACATTACATTCTTTGAAGCAAATGGAAGCTGCGGGTTTCCCAGGTCTGGCCATCCCCCGCCTCAGGTCCACTCCCGCACGCTCCTCGCCCTCACCGCGGGGCCCCCGCTCCTCCCCCGACTCGGAGCCAGACTCCTCCGACGCTAAAAAAAAACCGCGGGCCGGAGGCGAAATCCGGAGCTCCTCGTCCTTTTTTTGGCCGCCCCCTAGGGAAAATGAACAGAACCCAGGAAAAACCAAACTTTATGAATATCTTTTTTCAGGGATCCTTACAGTATACACCTGAGCATTGTAAATGGTGGTTTTCCCTTTGTTGGTGGAAAAAGCCATGTTTCAAATGGTTGCAAAATGCATCTTTTAAGGAGCTCTGTTTTCAAGGGGCTCTTTTTGCCAGCTTTCGTGGAAAAATGATCGACCCCCTCGCAGTGAAGGATTCTATAGAACAGGTTAAACAACCGGGAAGGGTCAACAATGAACCCTGCCTGCAGCGCGCTTTTTCCTTGAGCCACGCGCAGTCGTAATGATGAGACTGCGCAAGTGAGACATTCATGCATTGGGGTTTTACATGGTTGATAAATACATCACGTTGCAAACTACACCCCCCGTGCCCGAATGTGAAACAGGAGGACAAATGAAAGGGATGAAATAACCAACGAAACCCGATCGGCATGAAGTCATTTGCAGCACATAAGCACTTGTATTCGAGCAACTGGCCGTTAAGGTCTTCCGCCTCCACTGACCGTCGCTCTCGCTCATGCCTGTACATTGATCCTCGGCCAACATGGATTGAGAAGTATAATGAATATTGAATTTGAAGTGTAATTGGATGTCAGCCGAAGATTGAAAAGATAGTTGAAGAGACCGCTCATTCATCGCCAATCCCAATTGCGGGAGCTCTTCCACGGGCGCTGATCATCAGACCACCACGAGTCCCAGGATTGGCCCCAGCTTCCCCAGTACGACTGGCTCCATTGACGATCTTGCCATTGGCCACCGGTCTCCCGGAGCTGCGGAATGGGCTTGCGCGTCACACCGACAACTGCAGGGAGCGGAGTGGCCCGTCCAGGAATTTGGATGCCGGGGATCTCCTCTTCAACGAAGCAAAGCAACTCAACCAATACCGTTTCGGGGTCTCCCACCGACGAGAAATCCCGAGTCCAGCCCATCACGGGGTAGCGGTCGGTCTTGTCAAGGCTTCCATACAACGCGGCAAATTGTTCTGCTTCCAAAAATCTGCCACCATGCACCACATACACGTCTTTGGGATCAACCTCCTGCACGTCCTCGGTTGGCGGCACCAGCGTTAGCCGTGCGTGATATTTCGGCACAGCAACGCTTCCTTGGATCATTTCCTTCGTTCTTTCGAAACTCGGAATCATGCATCGTGCCACCTTCTCGATAAACTCGAGGGCGGACGGCGTCAGGTCTCCCCGCGCGGCAGTGTAGGCGTAGAAGGGGTCGTTGATCAGCCTCTCGTACAATGTGCTGTACTCCTTGTTGCGAAGAACTGCTTTCTTGGCAATGTCCTTCATGATCCCGAAGGCCCCCTCTTGCGCTTCGATCCCCTCGCGCATCCTTCCTTTGCGTCAAGATCTGGGTCTCAACCTGGTCCATGGAAAGTGGCACGCCCAAGCTGTTGGCCATCTTTTGCAATCGGACAACTTCTTGATATCGGGCATGCGCTCCATGAGGTGGTCACACTGGTAGCAGTTGATGGTGCCCACCGGGATGAGGATCTTGCATCGCGGGCATTCAACGTCGGGGATGTGCATGACCTCCGCGAAGCGCCAATTGGTCGACTTCTGCCTGTTGGGCTCCAGGTCCTGCCACAAACCACTCCGGCCACGGGTTTCCCCGGGCTGCTGTTTCACAGCTCGAGCCCAGTTCCGGTAGAGGCCATAACGAGCGGTCTCAAATTCGAGGGCGACCTGTTCCTCTTTCGGGAGGTTCTCGTCGTAAACGTCCCTGACCTTCGTCACATTCCCAATTCGGTGAGGTATCATCAGGTCGCGGCAAGCAGTCGGGGCCCATTGCTTGTAATAGAGCTTGCACTCCTTGTCGGCCTTCGCCATGAACGACTCCAGCACCGGGGTCCCGACAACGCGCTTCTGAGTCTCCTCCCGATACTTCTTGATGCTGTCTTGGTAAGATGAACTTCGCACATTCAGCATCATAGGCGTAAATGAGGACCTTGTTCGTGATCCAATCCTCGGTCACCAGGGCTTCCCCGTCTCCGGGCGCGTACAGCCGACAGCCCAATTGGATCAACATCTCCACATCGACGGCGATGTTGATGGGTCGGTCAGCCCGCGCACCCCCCGCCTTCCGGCCGTGCCTGTCCCAAGGAGGCACTACAGTTAGGTAGGCGTGGACCACGCGAGGATTGCCGGTCGCCCATTCCGCCAGGGAAGATGCCCATGTAGATGATGTCAAAGAAATTCTGCATGTTGCACGTGTGGTAGGCGATTTTGGGCAGCGCCTTTCGGCGTGCGTCCGAGAAATCTTTGCAGAAGCCCGGTCGCACACCCTTCTTTGCGTGCTCAATGGTGTAGTTGACATCCATTGCAATGGGATCTCCAGGAATGTTGTCAAAGCCGCTGGCCTCGGTCACCCAATCGTTGTGGCCGGTGAACGCGCGAATGCGTAGCGGCATGAAACTGAGCCCGTTCCATTGCTGCCCGGCCGGCGCGTACTCGACATAGACCTCGAACCGGTTCGAAGTGCTCGTGGCCTGAAGAAGAGTATATTGGGTGCAGTTCCAGTCATATCGACGTTGGATCCATTTGGCGACGGCTGCGTAGTCGAAGGAGTTGTCCTTGAGATTGATCTCAGGGATGGATCGCGTCGCATGTTCGTGAGCGTGTCCGCGAACCAAATACGACACCTTCTTGCTCAAGAACGTTCTTCTGCCATAGTTCTGGATTTGGGGAATCTTGATTCCTGAGCATTTGATCCACTCTCTCTTGGGTGCAGCAGCCTGGCCACGGGTCTCCCCGGGCTTTCCAGCAGCTTTGGGAACTGCCTTTGCCTTGGGGATGATCTCCGGGCCACGGATCTCTCCGGGCTGAGTCTTGCTGCTCCCAGCCACGGACGTCTGATCACTGGACGAGGCAGCCTGTTTTGGCATGGCTTTTGCCTTCACCTTCGGAGTCGCAGCACTGAGAGCTGCAGTCATCTTGTTGTGACTCTTCCGCTTGGAAGTGAGGATGAGCTTGATTTGGCCGTCCTCACCAATATCGTTCGGATCCACTGCGGCAGCCTCAACGGCCTGGCCTTTCGGCCGGCTGACCTTAGGCTGAGAGCCAGGGGGCAGATCGAAGCTGATCACCTGATCCTCCTCATCCGAAGAAGAAGACCAATCGATCACATTGTTGAGGCCGCTGACGGTCGCTGCGTGAATGTCAGGTTGCATCATTTGCAAGATCTTTGCTTCCTCCTTGACGGTGTCAAGGGGGTAGAGGGGGTTTGCCTCCTTCTCAGCCTCCAGGAAGATCTCGCGCTTCGGCTCTTGCGCGGCGATTTCGTTGATCGCCTCCAACTCCCTCTCACGGACCTCATTGTCGAAAGGGTCCTCAGGGTTCTTTGCAATTGCCGGACCGCCAGTTTCCTGGGGTGTAGCGCCAACGATCGGGATGGACGTGTCGATGTCCAGATACTCCTTCTCGAGGCGATACCAGTTCATGGCCATCTCAAACCGATTGATCTGACCGATGCAGTACCCGAGCTTGGCAGCAGCTACAAAATAACTAATGTAGTGCTTCCTGTTCCGCTCATTGTCATCCGTGTGAATGCGGTCAGCTCGAGACGTGTTGGAAATAAGAGTCTGAGGGTCTAGGACGGTGATGCCTGCGGATCCATGCAGCAATCGAGCGTGCCCGTCCATCTGAGTTTTGTAAGATTCACTCAGCCCATAGGTCTCGTAGTCTCTCGGCACGATGAGGACGACCTGGACGACATCATCTCTGAAGGCGATGTGGCGAAGTCGATCGCGAACTGTCATCACCGCTCTGGCATTCCTTTCGATGATGTCCATTGCCGCTTTCCGTTTTGCTTCGGAATCAGTGGCCCAGCCCGCTAGGGCAGCGGGGTTGTCGATGTAACCATTGCGACCGACAACGTCGTTCCCAGACCACGAAATGACAATGACATATGGTCGGGGCTCAGGCCTTTCGGCGAGCTTGATCATTGCTCGCTCAGCAGCGTCAAGAGACTCTGATAGCCCTTTTCCCCACGTCATCTCAGACCACACCTCATGCTTGTGCCCGAAAAGAGTCCGCTTGTTCTCCTTGATGATTGTGCCAACATCTGTCTTTGATCCATCTTTGACCAACGCATTGAAGGAATCGCCGAAAAACAGATGGTTGACCGCGGGTTTCCCCGGGCAGAAGAGGATATCGAAAGCCTCAACCGGAGCCTCTTTGAGAGTACCCGCAGTACCTGTCAATGATGACATGGCGTTCTTGGCGAGAGCCAGCGCATCGGTACGTTCACTCATCTTGGCAAGGTCGACACCGGAGTTCACGTCCTTGACGATGAATGATTGAGTTGCCGCATCACGGAACATATCTGACCAAGCCTCTCGGTTGGCGACGCGCAGCTCGTCGGGGATAACCTCGCCCTTCACCTTCCCGTCGTGCAGGATGTAGTCCGAGCCGTAGTCAACCCGAGCAAGCGGCACATCTTTGTAGTGCCTCTCAGAGAATGCCGATCGTACCGTCTTCAAGGCCTTCTCGATAGGCAGTTCTTCAGCCATGGTCACAACTAGTATACGTGTTTCAGCAACCTTCTCTTGAACCGACACTGCATAAGCAAAAGCCTTGTGAATCAAGTCAGTCATGATGTAAGTGTAGGATTCAGTATTTTTGAGGTTCCGTCCCTACCTTCAGCATGTTGGACAGTACAAGAACATACTCTTCCATCAAGGTAATTGTGGAGGCAATGCATGTTGGTCTTAGCAGTCCACGGTTTCTTCATAGGAATCCCATCGGTAGTTTTGACACCAACAGCACAACCATCAAACTTAACAGAAGTCATGTTGTTTCGGATAACGAACTTGTCAACAGCCTTATCGTCCCAATAAGTGCAACTCCTGGGCCATTCAATAGCAATCAACGGCTTGGCAAATTCCATTGAGT